GCCCCTCACCGAGCTTTGTGCTGACAGCTCAGAGCCTGGAGCCTGCTTGATTCTGTGTCTCCCTTTCTCTGCTCCTCCCGCATTCATGCTAAAGCGAGAATGAGGACAGGATACCTTTGAGAATCATAAAAATTATAAACTTGTTTCCTATAAAAATGATTATATGCACAATTTCACAGGTGTGAAGGAGTTTTTGAGCTTCGTGAAACTCATCTGCAGAATTATAACGATTTATGGACCGCATATTAAGAATCCCAGAAATAAAGGGCATTTTCTCCTAGTAATGAGCTAATGTCATCTAACAAAGTAACTTTAAACGGTTCGAATCATTAACACTCACAGATTTATTCTCCTTCAGTAAATTCTTACTCAGCACCTACCCTCATACAAGGCACTATACAAAATGCTCTATACCCCTAGGTGGTCTCAGCAGAACCTTACAATTTAAGACCAGGTTTGGATAAGGGGCAGCATTTTTCTTTATAATAGTATTATTGCAACCAAAGCTTTCTGTTCATTACTGTTGTTCTGCTCAAGTTTAACTTTTTATATTTATTTTTCAAAGAAAGATTTCTGCAGGCTCAGAAAACATGTTAACTTTCATAATTTTTTTATGTGTATTTATTTATTTATTTATTGAGAGACAGCGTGAGCAAGCATGAGCAGGGGAGGGGCAGAGAGAAAGGGAAAGAGAGAATCCCAAGCAGGCTCTACCCTGTCAGCACAGAGCCCAACGTAGGGCTTGAACTCACAAACTGTGAAATCATGACCTGAGCCAAAGTCAGATGCTTAACCGACTGAGCTACCCAGGTGACCCTGAAAACATGTTAACTTTTAATGATGCAATTTGGGGTCAGTTTCTACAAAAACCTCACTGACTCAGTGGAGACTGTATCATCAGTTATACATTCCAAAGTCTGACCCAAATCTTACACCACTTCGCCTCTAGCTATACAACCCAAGCACACAGTCAGGAGGAGGGCTCCAGAGTGCCAGGCAGGCAGATATCTACCTGCCTACTGCTGTGGCCAGCAGGTTCAGAGAGCAAGGCCCTACACGAAGGGACTAAGATAGCTGCTGAATCCTGGCAGAACACAAACTACAATCCTGATACTTTACTCTGAGACCCTTTAGCAGAGAATTCCCAAGACTCCTTCACTATTTCTATTATCTTGCCTTTGGCCGCTGATTTACAAGAGAAAAACCGTGTTTCAGGTAGGTGGGTTGGAATCCTGCCTGCACCTGCTACTCCCTAGCTTTGTAACTCATGGGTCGAGCAGTTAACATTTTTAAATCTAGTAAGGTCCCTATCATGGAAGCTCTTGTGAACACTAAATGAGATCATCTATCTCCTGGAGGATTTAGTGTGATGCCTAAGAAAGAGAAACACCCCATAAGTGTTAATTCTTCTCATACATTACCCACTCTGATCCTCACGGCCTCTGGAAGTTAGTTGGGTCTGGTTCAGAAAAAAAAAATCAAACTTGCTCAAAGTCACATAAGCTGCCAGGTTGGGGAGCCTGAATTGGAAAGGAAGTCTCCTGATCTTACACGTTGGCAAGCCCTCTAGTAAATACACCACAGCGCATGTAAACATGGACTCAGGCAAAGCGCGCTAAATGCTGCTGATGCAGTAGTAAATAAAACAGGGGTTTTGCTTTCAGGATGGAACAGAGTCCAGTGAGAGAAGCCTCTGACATGCACATGCTTATGTACATGAGGAGAATTTTCAGTAGCAAAAACAAACGTAGGGGGCACTACGGGAAAGTCTGCGGGGGATGCATGTGAGCCAGCAATAGCTTTTACTTGGTCTGGGTATCAAGGTACAGTGAAAGACATCTGAAGTCAGAACACCAGGACAGAACTACTGCTTAAAAGCAATGAGGCTTTGAAGAAATGCCTCAATATTCTCTAAATTATAGCTTTTCTGATGTGGAAAATGGGGATAATAATATCCACCTCACAGAACTGCTATGAGAATTATTAATGTTTGTAAAACCCTTAAAATCAGGTAATCTGTTGTCTAACCCAGGACACTCTTGGGAGTATGAGAAAGCACTATTAAAAATTATCCCAGGGTAACAGGCAAAATCTGCCCATACGGTCACCCTACTTATGACCATACCTACCTAGCACACAGACATCAGTTCTCAAAATATACCAGTTCTTTCATTTGTTCCCAGGGCCTTGAAGGATGCACAGCAATTTCTCAGGCAGGGGAGAGGGGGAAAATACATAACAAACAAAGGGAATTCCTTGAACAAGGGAATATTCCAATGTAAAAGGCTTGTAACAACGTTCATTCATGCAGTCACATAATTATAAAATTTTACTCCTTAAAGGAGTTGAGATATCATTAAATCTAAACAAGCCATTTTGTAGATGAAGCAGTTGAAGCTCTGAATGGTTAAATGACAGGAGTATTTTGTTTCAGAGCCAGGACCAGCACTTTGATTTTCTGACGGCTCACCCAGGGACCTTACCATGATCAACCCTCATCTCTAAGAAAGATTTCTCCTACTCCGCAGCTGTCATAGAAATGACAGGAAATCCATAATTCCCCTCAACAGCTTGCCTCGCAGTTCTTAAATTCTGATTGAATCCAACCAATTGCAGCCCCAACCAGTTCTGTCTTCAGGGAGGAAGAGTACAACCAGCAGGTTGTTGGCCAAGAAGGAGGAGGAATTTCACTCAGCTACACGTCATTTATCACGTCTCATTTATAGAACGCCTTTTCTTTGCATTTGAAGATTCCATGAATTCATAACAGGTACATTTTATAGAACAAATAATTTTAAGAAGAGGATTTCATAAAAAATAACTTCATATAAAGCTTGCTCTTCCAATTGACAAAATTACACCCTAGGGCAGAAGCTATCAGTATTTTTCTGCACAGAACGAACGAACTGGTACCCACTCCCGTCCTTAACAATGGTTCACAAAAAGGAGTAGGGAATAGAGGACGGAATCTCTGGAAGATACATAAAATTTTTTTCCTCAAAGGCCCTCGAATTATTCTGATCGTCTCTTGACTTCCTTCCCAAATTCCCCCCACCCCCTAAGCCACTTTTCATGGTTGTGGAAGTAAGTTAAACATGGAGAGTATCTCCGCCTGGAAAATAAGTTGGATAGAGAGAGATTCCATCCTTGTTTTCTCGTATTGTTGAAACTGTCCTCAATAGTTTCTTCTCTAAAAGCTTTACAGCCTCATCCTTCAAGCATAGGTAGTTACTCTACCCTCTGGGACCCCAGGGCATTTGCATTCACACCTAACATATCCTTAGCCGCACTCTCTGCTATAATAATTGCTCAGATCTCTCTGCTACCCAGAGATGTGCACGAAACTCTGCTTTGTTAACCCAATAACAGCCTGGCACACAGTGGGAGCTCAAATAATCGCCACTAAATAAATTACTTGGGAGCCTTGGGAACAATATATAATACAGAATACTACCCAGGAATTGTTTTCAGGATGAAGGAAATGGTCTATGTAAAAACACTGTCAGTTCTTTGGAAGAAAGATAACTGTAAAACCGCAAGGCACTATTCTCCTTTATTGTATGGCAAATCACCACAGTGCTTTCCTTAAATGGTACTTACTGGCCTGGAAAGCGAATGTCTCTCATTAGGTGCCTGACTCCCAGAGAGTCACTTATGTAACCTGAAGCACTTGAGTGATTCCACCATAGGAAGTCATCTCGTTTTAAAAAGTGCTGCACGCAAGAATTTTTTTATCTTACTTACCACATTATTTGTAATCTTAAGGAAATTATTTAAAAATTCCTAATTTTGAAACCCTGTCATAGAAATATGAGATTAAAAAAAAAAAAGCCAAGGCCTGTGAAAGAAAATGTTTAAAAGGTAGGGTGGGAGTGGGGTACTAGCCCAATCTAGCCTATTAAATTAACCCGTGTAGTTTCCAAGCTCTCAAGTCCTATTAGAACACATGATTTTCAAGAAGAGTTTGCTGAAATATACATACCTTGGCTTTCATAAATATGCTTTCGGGTTTAAAGAAGGGCCAAGTAAACCAAAAAGAATGAAATCTTGCCATTTGCAACTACATGGATGGAACTAGAGGGTATTATGCTAAGCGAATTTAGTCAGTCAGAGAAAGACAAATATCATATGACTTCCCTCATATGAGGACTTTAAGACACAGAACAGATGATCAGAAGGGAAGGGAAGCAAAAATAATATAAAAACAAGGAGGAGAACAAAACAGAAGAGACTCTTAAATATGGAGAACAAACAGAGGGTTATTGGAGGGGTGGTGGGAGGGAGGGTGGGCTAAATGGGTAAGGGGCATTAAGGAATCTGCTCCTGAAATCACTGTTGCACTATAGGCTAACTAATTTGGATGTAAATTAAAAAATAAATAAATTAAATAAATAAAATAAAAGAAAGAAAGAAAGAAGAGCTAAGTAATTGCAAGATGGAGTGGACAGAGAAAGCCATAAAACAGAGACATTAAGAGTTTAAATTTCACCTCACATGATTTTTCACAAAGTACATAAAGTTGTCAGATTCAGTAAAACAATTGATTTTATGTCCTACAGCTATTTTATTTTCCTTATGGCCATCCTGAATGGAAACAGTAATTCATCTGTTGGCCTAGAGATGTATTTTTAAAAAATCCTTTACAACTGTGTTATGCAAAATAAATAGCAAATACACTTCCCTGCACTATTAGTGGAGGTCTGGATCCAAAAGTCTCTTCTTCAGACTGACAAACATAGTCCCTGATTTCATCAGTGAATAAAAAGATTTCAACGTCCATCTGCAATACTACTGCCACCCTCAAAAAATAAAAAATAAAACCACAACACTTTCGACCTGCTGATCAGTTCACACGCAAACATATTCATTTATCACTAAATGTATTCGTTCCAAATTGTCGCTCAGGGTGTTATGAATTCTAAATGTACATTCTGAGATGTCTAGATATTATCAACATTTAAGCACTATACTGATATATTATGAACTCCTTAAAGAGATACCTTGGCAACGTCCCCATGTTATCATGATGTCCAAGCAGATCTTTTGAGCCAGAATTTATTGATCCATAAGCAGTCGCCATAAGCAGCTGAAAACTTGATTTTTGCCTCAAGGAGTTTCTATAATTACACACCTTAAAGAAAGAAATGTGGGTAGGGGGAATCAAAACACTTAAACCTGTTTGTCCTAAGAAGAAGGCATCTTTCAACTTTACGTTAACATATTTAATATATATTCAGCTTCCCCACTGATGATACTATGAGTTTAATTTTTTCCCTCTTTTTCAAACGGTTTACTGACTGTCCCATGAATACAATTCCAGTGACCTTTGGCATACAGTCTCCTACACACAATGAGGGACACTCCGGGGCACTGAGCATCAATACATTTCCAGGCTAAAGAACATACGTCAAATGTTCCACTGGCTAACGAGAAATTGTGTTTTTCAAGATCTCAATTTTTATATTTACCTGAATAAGCATTATGGCACACCTGCCATGTGCCCACTATATTACATTAAGTACCATATATATAAAAATGAATGTTTCCCTGACTTCAAGAAAGCAAAGTCTTCAGAAGGTTTATAAATAATCATGGTCTAGAGAAGTTCACAAAGACCAAATTTCATGCAATTTTTTTGTTTATTTTATTTTGAGAGAGATAGCAAGCAGGGGAGGGGCAGAGAGAGAAAGAGAGAGTGAGAGAATCCCAAGCAGACTCTACTTTGCCATCCCAGAGCCCAATGTAGGGCTCGAACTCATGAACTGTGAGTTCATGACCTGAGCCAAAACCAAGAGTCAGATGCTGAACTGACTGAGCCACCCAGTCCACAAATTTCATGCATTTTTATACTCCTTTTTATTTTCTTTCTCAGAGAATGATCCTATCATCTACTCATTCATACCAATGATCATTAGCGATTTATCCTCTCCCATAATCCAAATTTAAATAGAATGCAAGCCCTGTCGATTCCACCTAATAAATTCCTTTCCATCCAATTCCTGTCACCACTGCCATAGCTCAGATCTGCTTCTCTTTCCACCTGGAATGCTGCCATAATTTCTGTATTTATTGGAATTGTTTTAGTAGGAAGAGATCAAAACCTAACTCAATGTAGCCTAAGCAAAGAAAAAAAAATGTGGGGGAAGGCACTTTTCTGAAAGGAAGGAAATTTGGGTAGCCAAAGTCAGAAGAATAACCTTGGGAACTCAATACAATTATAGGGCAGTTAGAGACCAGAGGCCAGGACTCCTTCCCTGCCAATATTCTCTCCACCTATGATCTGTCTCACTGTGAGCCATGGCCTTTTTCTGTCATACTGCATGGGCTTATGGAATCAAACCATCAAAGAATACGGCTGTATTGGGTAGAACTGTGCTTCTGCCCCCAAATTCATATCTCCCTCTCCCCCCCCGGCGGGCCACCCGCAGAGCCTGTGAACGAGACCTTCCTTGGAAATAGTATCGTTGCAGATGTAATCAAGTTGAGATAAGGTCATGCTGGATCATGGTGGACCTTAATTCAATGACTCCTGTCCTCATAAGAGGGAAAGTTAGTCACAGAGATGCACAGTGGGAAGACTGCCCCATGACAATGAAGGCAGAGACCAGAGTGCTGTGTTGATAAGCTAAAGAACCCCAAGGGGTGCTTGTAACCACCAGAAGCTAGAAGAGACAAGGAAGGATCCTCCCCTAGAGCCTTCAGAAAGAACGTGGCCCTGCCAAAAACTTGATTTTGGACTTGCAGCCTCCAGAATACATTCTCTGGAGGGAGAGAATACAATTCTCTGAGGGAGAATACATTTCTATTGTTATAAGACACTCGGTCTGTGGAATTTTGTTAATGGCAACCCTAGGAAACTAAAACAATGGGCATTGGCAGACTGGAGTTTCCATCACTTCTATTTAGGAACCCTGGAAGAAAGAATGCTTCCATCTTCCTTATTAGTGCATTTAAAACTCTAGTCCTAGAATCTTATTGACCTAACTGGAGTCAGGTGCCTATACTTGGACAGATCAGAGTGCCAGGGATGGGATACCATGATGGGCATGGGATGCTAATGCCTAGGAAATGTATGCATCTCTCTGACTCAGGATAAGGGGCACAGGAAAGTGACTGAAAGCCTCACCAAAAACACAGGAGTAGGAAAGGAGCAAACCTCAGACAAAAAGACAAAGATGCTGATACCAAAACAGTAGTGAAGGGAAACCAAGCAGACAAACTGACACCAACCATGGTCCCTTATCTCTCTTTATCTCACCTTATCCCCCATTTATCCATTCTCCAAGTCAGCAGTAGACAAGTCTTCCCCACCCTTTGGCCTCTCCAAAATCTTTTAACAGCTGTCTTTAGTTTTCAGAGTAAAGTATATCGTCATCTTGCCCCGGCCTCCTGAGCCACCCCAACCACTCCCCCCACCTCTAGCCAGACTGAACTTCTCACAGTTCTCTCAACTCCCCAGCCACTTTACACACCCCAATCTCCTTGCTCCTTCCTGGAATGTTCTTCCTACTTTTCTCCACTTTGTTCATTCCTACTCATCCTTTAAGATTACATGCAAATTTCAACAGGAATGTGCTTCTACATACATTATCTCACCTCTCTAGCTTCAGAGCTCTCATCTGCAATATGAGGTCATTATTAATTTCCAGGATAAATCTCTTCAAACTTAGTGTGCATCCCTGGTGACTATCGGTAAGTCTCTGCTTTCTTCTATGAGGCCAATAGGGCTGAGAAAACACAGATATATTAAATGACGGCTAGCAAATTTGTCTATCTAGCAACAACATCCTCCCTAATTCTGAAATACCAGCTTCATCTTAAGTTAGAAATTCAGAAGCAGAAAGAGTTGTTGTATAGATGAAAGCAATGCTGCCATAAATAAAATAAAAGCAAGTCATTTGACAATTAACGAAGTAATAGAAGAAAGAAAGGAAGACGCAATCTAACGATATGTCTGGAGGGTTATTATGAAAGGCCTGGGTGCCTCTTGGATACCCTCCCCCGGTTCTAGAATCTAGAAATACCATATATGGGAATCATCATAAAATCCAGATCTGACCAGAAAGGATGGCACACTAAGCTAGGAGCATTCGTTTACACCTCAGCATTAATTGTCATGTGTAGAGCTGAATCATATAAGCTCTACACTCAGACTAATTTAGTTCAAATCTGTGCTCTGCCATTACATATATGGCCTCGGGGAACTTATTTAAATTCCTAATGTTTCTCACCTATCAAATTGGGAGGATAATAGTACTTCTCTCATAGAGTCTATATGAGGGTTTATTGGCTTGAGATGTATACAGCACTTAAAACAGTAATGAACACACAAAAAGCATTCTGTAAATGTTTTTATTATAGTATCTCAGTCTTCCAGCAGGACCATAGGGAATAAAGAGACCTGAGGTGGGGGAGGGGGGTGGGTAGGGTAGAGGGGAGTTGGGAAGGGACAAGAGCATAAAGCAGAGCCCATGTAAAAGAGGAGTTGGTATGACAGCTAATGGAAAAGGAGGACACGGATGCTAAACCTGGGCTCTGGTGGCATCCCTGCCTTAGCCGAGGCAGCCGTTAACTGGAAGCAAGCTGAATGATAGAAGACTCAGTTATTGGTTTGGGAACAGTCACTTTTTTTTTTCCATAGCTTCTCTCAAACTGGAACCTCCTTTACCGGGGTCTGAAAATAGAATTCTCATCTTTAATTTTTTCTCCACTTCTTCATGCTTATTTCTGGCAGGCAGGGGAAATTTTCAGGGCTGCAATTCATAGATCCTCTATAATCTAGCAGGAGAAAATCTTGTCTGCTATGCTGTAATGATACACCCTGATTCTTTAGCACAGAATGGTATGAGAGCCTACAGAACAGGCTGAAGGTTTTCAGATTACAGTTAGAAAGAGAAAAATACACAAACTGATGAGAGATGACATATTATTTTATTTATTTATTTTTTGAAATTTATTGTCAAATTGGTTTCCATACAACACCCAGTGCTCATCCCAACGGGTGCCCTCCTCAATACCCATCACCCACCCTCCCCTCCCTCCCACCCCCCATCAACCCTCAGTTTGTTCTCAGTTTTTAAGAGTCTCTTATGCTTTGGCTCTCTCCCACTCTAACCTCTTTTTTTTTTTTTTTCCTTCCCCTCCCCCATGGGTTCCTGTTAAGTTTCTCAGGATCCACATAAGAGTGAAACCATATGGTATCTGTCTTTCTCTGTATGGCTTATTTCACTTAGCATCACACTCTCCAGTTCCATCCACGTTGCTACAAAGGGCCATATTTCGTTCTTTCGCATTGCCATGTAGTACTCCATTGTGTATATAAACCACGATTTCTTTATCCATTCATCAGTTGATGGACATTTAGGCTCTTTCCATAATTTGGCTGTTGTTGAGAGTGCTGCTATGAACACTGGGGTACAAGTGCCCCTATGCGACAGTAATCCTGTATCCCTTGGGTAAATTCCTAGCAGTGCTACTACTGGGTCATTAGGGTAGGTCTATTTTTAATTTTCTGAGGAACCTCCACACTGCTTTTCAGAGCGGCTGCACCAATTTGCATTCCCACTAACAGTGCAAGAGGGTTCCCGTTTCTCCACATCCTCTCCAGCATCTATAGTCTCCTGATTTGTTCATTTTGGCCACTCTGACTGGCGTGAGGTGATATCTGAGTGTGGTTTTGATTTGTATTTCCCTGATGAGGAGCGACGTTGAGCATCTTTTCATGTGCCTGTTGGCCATCCGGATGTCTTCTTTTTTTTTTTTTTTTTAATTTTTTTTTCAACGTTTATTTATTTTTGGGATAGAGAGAGACAGAGCATGAACGGGGGAGGGGCAGAGAGAGAGGGAGACACAGAATCGGAAACAGGCTCCAGGCTCTGAGCCATCAGCCCAGAGCCTGACGCGGGGCTCGAACTCACGGACCGCGAGATTGTGACCTGGCTGAAGTCGGAGGCTTAACCGACTGCGCCACCCAGGTGCCCCCGGATGTCTTCTTTAGAGAAGTATCTATTCATGTTTTCTTCCCATTTCTTCACTGGATTATTTGTTTTTCAGGTGTGGAGTTTGGTGAGCTCTTTATAGATTTTGGATACTAGCCCTTTGTCTGATATGTCATTTGCAAATATCTTCTCCCATTCCATTGGTTGCCTTTTAGTTTTATTGGTTGTTTCCTTTCAGTGCAGAAGCTTTTTATCTTCATAAGGTCCCAGTAATTCACTTTTGCTTTTAATTCCCTTGCCTTTGGGGATGTGTCGAGTAAGAGATTGCTACGGCTGAGGTCAGAGAGGTCTTTTCCTGCTTTCTCCTCTAGGGTGAGAGATGACATTTTAAACATAGCTACTGTATTAGAGAAGATCAGGAAAAAGGAACCAATAAAAATATATATATAATATATATCATATAGAGAGAGGAGGAGGGAGAGGGGGATGGATTTTAAGAAATTATCCTGCATGACTGTGGGAGCTGGCAAGTCCAAACTCTGTAGAGTGGGCAGGAGTCTGGAAATTCAGATAACACTTGTAGGTGTTGCAGCCTGAGTTCAAAGGCAATCTGCTGGCAGAATTCCCTCTTCCTCAGGAGAAGTCAGTCATTTTTCTCTTGAGGCCTTCAACTGATTGGGTGAGGCCCACCCACATTTTGGCAGATAATCTGCTTTATTCAAAATCTACTGACTTCAATATTAATCTCATCTAAAAAATTTCCATAGCAACATCTATGCCAGTGTTTGGCCAAATTTCTAGGTGCTGTGGCCTAGCCAAGTTGACACATAAATTTAACCACCATGTGTATCAATTAATATTTTTCTTTCCCAGTCCCCAAGAAAATGCCATTGCTTTCAACAACCAGACACAAGTTAGGCTAGAGCTACCTCTACTTCTCTCTTCTGTTCTGTCTCTTTCTCTGTCTTTTTCAACTATAACTGTAACAAGAATCATCTCAGTTATATATTTTTCTTTGCTTTACACTCTTCCTTTGAAAATGTAAGACGCTCAGCCCCAAATTCTCTGAGTGCAATATCACAGGATTCAAATTCCATATTCACTTATAGATACACTATTGAGAGCCACAACCAGAGGCAGCTCCTTAACATTGGTGTGGCTTTATTGATAAGTTGTTTAAAATAAAGCCAAATGATGCCAATAGAATTTTAACACTATTGCTCTTAACTCATAATGAAGTTAATACATCATAATAGGAGGCACAGATCCACACAAAATTACAATGCATTAAGAACCAAATAATGGCATTTGACAAAATACAGCATCCTTTCTTAATAAAAACCCTTGAGAAAGTCAGAATAGAAAGAACATACTTAGACATCATAAAAGCCATTTGTGAAAAGCCCACAGCTAATGCCATCCTCAATAGAAAAAAACTGAGAGCTTCCCCCTGAGATCAGGAACACGACAGGGATGTCCACTCTCACTGCTGTTGTTTAACACAGTGTTGGAAGTCCTAGCATCAGCAATCAGACAACAAAAGGAAATCAAAGGCATCAAAATTGGCAAAGTGAAGTCAAGCTTTCACTTTTTGCAGATGACATGATGTTATACATGGAAAATCTGACAGACTCCACCAAAAGTCTGCTAGAACTGATACATGAACTCAGCAGGGTTGCAGGGTACAAAATAAATGTACATAAATCAGTTGAATTGTTATAAACAATAACGAAGCAACATAAAGAGGAATAAAGAAACTGATCCCATTTATAAATTGCACCAAGAACCATAAAATACCTAGGAATCAACCTAACCAAAGATGTAAAAGATCTGTATGCTGAAAACTATAGAAAGCTTATGAAGGAAATTGAAGAAAACACAAATAAATGGAAAAAAAATCCATGCTCATGGATTGGAAGAATAAATATTGTTAAAATGTCAATACTACCTGAAACAATCTACACATTCAATTCAATCCCAATAAAAATTTCACCACCATTCTTCTCAAAGCTAGAACAAACAATCCTAAAATTTGTATGGAAAATTTGTATGGAATAGCCAAAGTAATATTCAAGAAGAAAACCAAACCAAGAGGCATCACAATACCAGACTTTAGCCTCCACTACAAAGTTGTAATCATCAAGACAGTATGGTATTGGCAAAACACAGACACATAGACCAATGGAATAGAATAGAGAACCCAGAAGTGGACCCACAAATGTATGGCCAGCTAATCTATGAAAAAGCAGGAAAGAGTAACCAATGGAAAAAATACAGTCTCTTTAACAAATGGGGCTGGGAGAACTGGACAGCAACATGCAGAAGAATGAAACTAGACCACTTTCTTACACCATTCACAAAAAATAAACTCAAAATGGATAAAGGACCTGAATGTGAGACACGAAACCATCAAAACTCTACAGGAGAGGATTGAGGAGGAAGATGGCGGAGTAGGAGGACGCTGGGCTCACCGTGTCCTGCTGATCACTTAGATTCCACCCACACCTGCCTAAATAACCCAGAAAACCACCAGACTAGCAGAACAGATTCTCTGGAGCCAAGCGCAGACAAGAGGCCCACAGAAGAGGGTAGGAAGGGCAGAGAGGCGGTGCGTGCTCCACGGACTGGCAGGAGGGAGCCGGGAAGGAGGGGCAGCCCACCAGCAAAGCAGAGCCGGCAGAGTCTGGCTTGCAAAAGCAGAGGGGCCAGACGGAATGTGTTCGGACAGCAAGTGGGACTTAACATCTGGAAGGTTATAAGCTAACAGCTCTGCTCAGAGAGCAGGAGGGCTGGAGGACAACGGGAGGGAGAGTTGTTGAGCCCCAGACGACAGAGCTCAGCTTGGCGGGGAGCAAAGGCGCTCACCAGCGCCATTTCCCTCGTACATCCCCCAGCCAAAATCCCAGAGGGAACCAGGTCCTGCCATGGAATTTGCTTGCACCACACAAACACCCAAAGCTGTGCTTCTGCGGATCCATCCCTACAGCAGCGGGTCTGACTCACTCCCGGTGCTGCAGGGCCCCTCCCAAAGCAGATCACTGAAGGAAAAGTGAGCTGAGCCTACCCCTCCCACCCCTGTGCACCTTGCCGATCCACCCCCAGCTAATATGCCAGATCCCCAGCACCACAAGCCTGGCAGTGTGCAGGTAGCCAAGATGGGCCACGCCTCCCCACAGTGAATCCCGCACCTAGGAGACGGGAAGAGAAGGCACACACCAGTCTGACTGTGGCCCCAGCTGTGGGCTGGGGGCAGACATCAGGTCTGACTGCG